CCTATAATTAGTTATCTTTAACATTTTAATCCCTATACTTTAAACAGTTATATTAAGATTCTTATACTTTCGAAAGTAAAACATTGAGATTTTTATACAAAATTAAAAAGATAATTTCAATAGATTAAAAATCAAAAGAGAGGAGTTTTGTTAAAGCAACATAGTTAAATGTTTCACTTTCGTAACTATAGATATCTTAATATAATTTTAAAAAATATAGGGATCGAGATATTAAATGTTACTAATTACAAGAGATAATATATAATTAGCCCACCTAAAACTACGATGGTATATGCTTACATGACAAATATTTTCACAAACAATAATACTTTCATAACAAATTTATTATGTCTTTGTTATTACTTAGGAGTACTTGAAGAATTTTAAGAATAAAAAATATACTAATAATGTATATGAGGTCCTATCTAGCATCACATAGAAATAATACAAAGCTAAGGTGTCTTTGTAACCTCAAATAGAGGTAAAAGGATGATATATTTATTCATTGATGGTCCAAACAACACTAACACGACATAATCTCAATTCTATTTTAGCCTCGTATTGCCAAATATAATTAAGAAGCAACTAGAACTGATCCTTTTTATGATTTTATTTCTTCTTCTCTTTATTTTTAGATAAATCAACCTAAAATTATCCATATTATAGTTGTAGTTAATCATTGACATGTTTCAATTCACGCTTGGTTAGAGATTACTCAAGGAGACTTTTGGAATTGATCAATGTCTCCGAAGCACATTCCTTGACTTTCATTGGTCCCACCCATCAATCTCCACCATGAATGGGACAAATGGAAGGCCTACAATTATATTCACTGATGGCACCAACCACATGAATGCTGGCCAATCGTATACGATGAGGGTGACAAACAATGAGAAGAGTTTGGATTGATGCACAATTGGGCTTATGATTTCTTTTCTTTTCCTTGTCAGTAGAAAATATCAATGATAATGAGCATAATAGTGACAAAGTGTGGCCCAAAATATAGGTATAATTCTTACGACTTATATATCACTGCTTATGTTAAGATTTAGAGATAAACACTTTAAGTCAAACTAGTTAACACAAATGGGATTATTAAGTTATATGTTAAATCTAATATGGATTACTTGATTCTTTAAGGGGCTATTCTTAGGTTCTTTTTCAATCTTCATTTCATAAATGAATGTTTATCTATCATTTCTTCTATTCATGTATGGATTCGTTTGTCTCTTTCCTTATCAACGAATAAATCAAACTCTGATTGGACCTATTATTCAACTCATTTGGCTATGACTCACATCTCACTGAGGTTTAACAAGTTAACAGTGCATTACTTGCCTCACCAGTGACGTAAACCACAGCAATCAATGTGTCTTCTTTCTATTATATTATATTCTATTCATTCACTCACATCAATGGTGACTGCAACCTCCCTATCATAAATAATTAATTGGTATTCACTGTCACTATGCTAACCAATTGCAGCGTTTTTTTTTTTTTTTTCCATGGTAAATAATATTGCATGCATTCTTCATATGTGTTTGTGTATCTATCAGAAACATATATATATATATATATATATATATATATATATATATATATATATATATAGTCTCTCAGTTTGATCATAAAAAATGGATTACTATTGGACCCAAGGAATGGAAGGCGAATACATTTTTGATAATTTATAAATAAAAGCCTCTAGTAATGAAGTTACAGTACTTTTACATTTGATTTTTATTAAGATTATTTTTAGACCTTAACTAAGGTACCCTTAATGAAATTACAAAACCACATTGATTATCTTCGACTAGGTTTGGCTTAATTTTTTAGGATTGAATTAATTTTTTTTAGATGAGCCAAACCACACCATTCAACTAAGTTCTGACTATTCAATTTGATTTAAGTCCGTTCTAGATTTTCTTTTAATTTTTTTAAATTATCCCTATCTCCTCCCACTCTCTATTGACTTCCTCCTCCTCCTCTTCTTCCTTCTCAATCTCCTCTCACTCCACCTGTCTTCTCTTCCTCCTCCTACTTTATTACCACATCCTCCTTCTTCCTGTCTCCCTTAACTTGCTCCTCTCCCTTCTTCCACTCCGCCTCCCCATCTTCCTCATCCACCTTCCTCACCTCTCCTCCTCATCCTCTTCGCACTTCACCTTCGCCTCATCCTCCTTCATTGCCTCCTCCCCCTCCCCCGTGCCTTCTCCTACTTCTCCTCTCTTATTCCCTCCTCCTCTCCCTTATCCACCTCCCTCACTCCTCCTTAGATTTTACCTATAAAAATTGTTATATTTGAGTTATACTTATTCATAAAATATATTAAAAATATATTATTTTTATATAAAATTATTTTAAATTTATCATAAAATAAAAAAACTTGAGTTATCCTAAAAATATATTAATTTTTATATAAAATTATCATAAATTATCTAGAAAAACCATTAGGTTCAAATAATACTCTAGTTATACTCGGGTTATATTTAAGCTACACTCATTCAAATAACATATTAAAAAATATATATATATATATATATATATATAATTATTTTAAATTTATCATAAAACTAAAAAACTTGAATTATCCTATACTAAAAAACTAAAAAAATTATCATAAATAATATACTTTAATAAGATACGTGAATGAGTATAACTTGATTATAACCTAAGTATTATTTAAATTAAATTCAACTTGATCCTAATCGAATCGGCCCATGGATCAATCAGGCTTGAAACAGTCCGATTCAAGAGGATTATTAAGATTTTTAAAAAGAGAAATATTCCTCCGTAAAAATATCATATGATAAAAAATTATTACTAACAGTTTTTTCGGTAAATATTAGGATAATTTATCTTAGCATTTTTACGATCCACATGTTTCTGCATAGATCTCTTTCAAGGCGGTCCATGCTATCCTGTCACAGGCCAACTCAAACTTCACCATCACTCGCACGGCCTTCTGACATCATTTGCTCACACATCATGCCTTCAATCTGACCCATTCAATCCATCCGTCTCATGCCATCATGAATGCCCATCAGACTTCACGAAACTGTAGGTGAATTTACCCTGCAAGCAACACCGAGGCCACCAGTACATGATAGAGTATGGAGCTGTGCACTGAAACATAGTGACATTTGCTGGTCCAGTCTCTCAGCATTCTCAATGTTCTCAGTTTTTTTTTTTTTT